TATATACACACATAAACTCATACACACATAGACTTACACACACATTATATACCCACACATATACTTACATATATTCACATGCATAAACACATACAATATGCATACATACATATACACATATATACATATTTATACTCACACATGAAAAAGCACACAAACATGGCCTTGAATGAATCCTTATATAACCAGTTTAGCTTCCTAAATAATAAATTGAGTGTTCAGCAGCTGACTGAATAATCTTGAAAGAAGATCAGTTTTGCTGATCAGAGATATAATAATTTTCAAATAGGTGAATATTTATCACTTTACAAGGATCATATCCTCCCTGTCTGAAATTAATAATGTCTGGGTGGAGTTATAGAGAACTTTGTATTCTACTAGAAATAGTCATTTCTGCTTGCTTATAGCACATCCTGTGAATTCAGCATTAGATATAAATAGACACATAAAAAGAATACACATATAGGTATTCTTTGATCCCCAGTCCACTCTGTAATTTACTTCTCTCTTTCCAGGATGAATTGCAAATACCACAGTGTAGAGCAGCATATCACCAACCTTGCCCTCTTGGGTCCTCTGCTGAGGGCAACCCTGGAGGATTTTTTTTTCAGCTTGACTTCCAGAACAGGACCAGATTCCCTTCTCAATAACACAGCAGCTAATTATTCACTAGTTCCCAGAAAACACATGCTCTGCAAATTCTTCTCCTAGTTTCATAATGATTTGTGTGTGAGGTGCTAGGGATTGGATTTAAGACGTTGTGCTTGCTGGGAAGCACTCTGTCACTGAGCTGCAGCCCCAAATGTTCTTTTTTCCTGTTCCTCCTCTTTCAGATTTTGATAGGTATTGAGGATTGTCAGGGTTCTGTTTCTAATAGCAAGGAACAGTGATTGATTTGCTGTTGTGTGGCAAATGAGTTTTGTGTGCCAGTATTACAAGAATTTCAGAAGCTCTATTGATGCCCAGGGTTCTTATCCTACAGACAGGAACGCCCCCTTCTCGTGATAAACACAGAAAAGGGAAAAAGTCACTTGCTCACAGGAACCACTCTCACATTATGGTTTGATTCAAGGTAAATTAAGGTCCTTAAGAGGGATTGGCCCACATTTTTTTTTCATCAGAAAATTTCCCCAAACTCTTATTTCTCAAAATCAAGCTTGGATAAATCTTAGATTGCTAAGAGGTCAAGGCTGGACTTTCAAGGGTGAACTTGAAACCTGGCTTATCTGATGATTAAAAGAAGGTTCACTTACCCTGATACATAACTTGCTGGAGGACCAGAGTGAATTTGTCTTAACAAAAATAGATGTATCCTCAGCAGGCATACTGAAGCCATCACCTAGTCTTGACATCCAGAAGGCCATTTCTACTCCCAGGATTAGCAACAGTGAACCATCAAAATGACTCCCTTGTCATTATTTTTTCTGTCATAAGCCCTGAATCTGTGTAGGTAAAATATACTCTTTTTAAAGATTTCTTCTTGAGAATTCCACCTAAGAGTCCTGTTGTTTACAGAATTTCCATCCCACCTTTCCCCTCTCTAACTCGTCCCATCCCCACTCCCCAATTCTTCTTTCTGAAAGCCCTCTTATCTTTTTCTAAAACAAACAGACAATGTGACCCCATATTTAGTATTGAATAGCATTGACTCAGCAGAATGGGAAATTCTTATCAGAAAGCCAAATAGACATAGTCCATTATATTTATCCTCTCTAGATAAAATAAATCACTTTACCCTTAAGTAAGAAGTGTCGGGTGTTGGTGTACTGATTGTAACCCAAAGCTTGTCCTAGATTTACCTGGTAATTTGGGAACTCATCTGTGTTTTATTTTTGCTCAAAAAAGAATTAAACATCTTTAGGAAGTAGTGTTACAACACAGAGCCAGACATCCACTGAAGGAAGCGTCTGCTAAGCATAAGGTGATTTTTTGCTAGAGAGAGGGAGAGAGAGAGAGAGAGAGAGAGAGAGAGAGAGAGAGAGAGAGAGAGAGAGCGAGCAAGTTCCTCGGATGTTTGCACTTTAAAAAAAGCTGGATAAAGCTTCAGAAAAGTCTTCCTAGAGTCTCACAAAACTCCCATCTAGTTCCCTCAAAAGGACTTCTAGACAGTTCAAAGAATAAGAACAGTACTGCTGACACATTTTCTAAAATGCACGCCTCAAGAAAAAGGAGGGGAGAGACATATATTACCTTATGTTCAGCAGGCAGGGTGGAACTTGTATTTTAAATTTCTGTATGTTTACAGATTTTGTTAGAAAATCATAGAACTGAGATCTTAGAGAATCTCTCAATGAGGCAATACAAACAAACAGATCTCATGTGTTTTTTAAGACCTTGTGTGAATCTACTACAGGAGAGCCTGACAACTGAGAGATCTTTCCTCCAATGCCATCTTAGCAGATGAAAGGTACGATTTGTTTTGGAGTGAGTTGGTGAGCAAGCAGGAGGCACTACAATGGGATAGCTGTGATTATGGGATTCCAGAACCTGTAGTGAATTCATGGCTCCTTTTTGTTCTGACATCAGACTCATTTTCAAAACAACAGTAACAACAGACAAGGCAGTAAGATCAAGCCCAACTATCTGGATCTCAGATCTTCTAGAGACCAGTAATTTTGAACCCAGATTCAATATTGAGTTCCTAGTGTCCTTTCTATAATACCTGGTTTCTCTGCCATGCTATATATTGAGAGAACCTTAATTACTGAAGGCTTTATAGGTTTCGGTCTATGGATAATAAACTATAATACTATGCCTTATGTCTTCACGTAAGGTGAATAATTATGAATTTGTGCAAATGACATAATTTTATAGAAATTATTTATTTTTAGTGTGTTTGTGCATTTCTTGGAAGTGGTTTTGGATTCTGGATGTGCAAAGTCTGGTTTTATATTTTCAAGAACAGTTACACAGATCATTTTTCCTTTATTTTGCAGGAAAATGTATGTATATTTACATTAAAAGAGAATAAGAACCTATTTACATAGCTCATTCTTTAAAAAACATGCTTTCGGCAACATTGGCTTCAAGTTTCACAGGCTACACTCACTTATTAACCAAAGTCAGCTGTAGAGAGCAGTAATGGAGTAAGATTCTCTCCAGAATTACGATTTTTCAGTGTATTAAGTTTTTTCTTATATATTTTTTAAAAAATCCCAATAAGTGTGTCAGTACAGTTGGCAATAAAACACTGGGTCTGAGCAGCCAGTGTCAGCTTGAGGATAAGGATGTTTTCTTGATTTATTTGATTGTCTGTATCTGTCTCACGTGTTGACTTTTGCTCCTCTTGTGTTTAGGGTTTTTTTTTATTTTGTTTTTTTAGCTGTATTGAGATTGGCAAAGGGAAGTAGAAATGTCAGAATGCATCTAAAGTGATGGCTCTACTTGGTATAGCATCATCTGTCATTTCCAACCAGTCACCAAATTGTAGTGCCAAACATGACTTGGTTCTCTCAGCAGCATCTGAGGATGATGATGAGCCGGGGGCTGAGCAGTTTGTATTACTTCAGCCTCTTTAATCATGTACAGAATTATAGCACCTTGTATCTGGAAAGTAACTGAGGGGCACAGGGCATATGATATTTTATCTCATGTAAACGCATGTATACACCTTTCCGATGACAGAACATAAGCCGTAGTCAATACTTGCTTTGGTATGACTAAGACAGACTAACTTGTGGCTATACCAACCATGAAAACACATAGAAACACTGACTGAACTAAGGTCGAATATGGAATAGAGTTGCCTTACATGAGCTATTTAATCTTCTTGGACTTTAGTTTCATTCTCTGTAAAATGGCATTAAGATATTATGTCAAGCCGGGCGGTGGTGGCGCACGCCTTTAATCCCAGCACTCGGGAGGCAGAGGCAGGCGGATCTTTGTGAGTTCGAGGCCAGCCTGGGCTACCAAGTGAGTTCCAGGAAAGGTGCAAAGCTACACAGAGAAACCCTGTCTCGAAAAACCAAAAAAAAAAAAAAAAAGATATTATGTCATATAGATTAGAATTTATATATATATAATATATATAAAATATGTGTATATATGCTGTTTAGCTTATAGAAGTCTTAACATTTCTTAAATATGAGCCATATGAGTTAAAATTCACTTGTAATATTAACTACTATATGCTGACACCTTGAAGAAAATTTGATTAATAATAATTTTCATTTGCTAGCAACATAAAGGATCTATAATTTAGTTATTTCCTTCCTTCGTTAGAGTTAGTGTTTCAGGGAATCTCTAGAAAAGAGCAACTGGTCTTCTTTATTCGCCATTGGCCGTGTTGGATTGTTTCATTCTCAATCATGACTTAACACCTGGAAAGAGAAAGTTCTAGTCATTTCCCCTTTTGTCATTTTATCACAGTGTTCTATCAGACTGTTTTAGAAATTAATTTCCTTCCCATCTCATCTCTGATGCTTTCTTTTGTCCACTTGGACTCTCTGCTGTAAATGCCCATCTTCATTAGTCAACTTTATCTTATCTGTTCCAGACGAGTCTCACTGTATCAACTGGGAACACACAGAAGTGAACAAATAAAGACATTTTTGTAATCACTCTTCTACTGCACAGTAGCATTAGAAAGCCATGAGAATCAACATAGAAAGACAGACAAGAGGGTCTTTGCTCTCTTTGCTTTATCCCACAGTGCATTTTACAAAAGTCAGACTTTAGCTGAATCCCTGCTCACTTTCCCTTCTTGTTTTGGATATTACCTTTTGGGGAATGATGCACTCAATGCTACAGAGACAGTAAGCCGTCAGGTCGAGATCCTGAAGGGAGATGGGGTATCGAATTGCATTCCTTAAACAACACCTGCCCTCAAAGCCAGCAAGACTGTTTATGGGACTTGAGCAGATCTTTTGAACTCTCCAGACTAGAACCTGATGCAGAATATATTTTTACTTTTGATACTCTATCTACACGTTAATGCATAATTTTCAATGTATTTTCTCTAGAAGTCCTCATCTTCATCAGTCTATTGTTTTATTTTGCAGTGATGAATTTGGAGCAGAAGTGAAAACCATTTTGCTGAAGAGTTTTGGAATGCCGGTGCTAACCATTTGCTAGATTTCACTTGTGCTTTTTCAGAATGATGCTCTGTTGATGAGCTCAGTCCAGCAGAAGAACCTGAAAGGTTTGCTGCAGCCACATAGCATCGGTACACTCGCAAAACCCAGAGCAGGATGATAGACCTGTAGCTTCTAGCATTGCCGTTCAAGCCTATAATGCCTTCTATAAAGTTGACAGCAATACTAATGCACCCCTATGTTAAAAGCAGCTAAATAAAGAAAAATTATAACTGAATTCAAAATGACTGGGACTATTTTTTCAATGGTCGTTTTGTTACTGTAAACATTACTAACTGAATCAAGTTTCGTTATTGAGAGCATATCTTAGAGGATGCTGATACTTTAGGGGCCATCAACGAAACTGTAAACAAGAGTAAGGTGGTACTTTTCATAATGCATGCTGCTTCCTGTTAGGATCTGACATGTTGTATGGACTGTGTCCAAGGGACAGCCTAAGGGTAATGACCAATATTGTGCTGGGATGACTTGAGCAGTCATGTCTTTGCTTTGGGCTACATGATTCCTATGAAAACCATCTCACAGGTGGTGCTCCCACAGAGCAAACCCACACTACGATGGCAGTCTCAAGAGGCTGGCCGTTCCACTGCTGCTGCCAACCCTATTGAGCATGCTCCACTTGTCTCCCAGTTGTCACCCCAGCAGTTGATCTTGGTTTCCTCTAGTGATTTCCTTCTTCTGCCCCTAGGGAAAACCAAGACAACACCCACCAGAGAGTTCTCAGCAGTTCCCAGCAGCAAACTTCAGGTAGCAATGGAGCCTTTGCAAAATCTTTTTGACTTTGGCATGTAGCTCACACTTCCTGAGAGAGAGATCTCCATTACTGCTTCTCACTCCCACTGCTTCCTCAGCCCAGCCACCCCACTCAAAGGAGGTTGCTATGAAGGAGCAACAGGAATCAGAATGCTCCATTACCAGCCATCAGGTGGTACCTGGAAATGTAAACTTCTTTTGGCTTCCCCTACTAGTATTAGAAATGCGTATCTTCTCAGTAAAGATATCTGCTCTTTCATCTTCCCCAAACAACTACACCATCTCCATGAACCACTTAATAGGTCTCAACATTCACTGAGTCTTGTTATACACCAGTTACCACAAGTTCTTAAGATGCATTTGAATTAATATTCATAATGAATTATTTTGTGAAGCAGATGATATCTTTACCTATGTTTTATGTTTGCAAAAGTAGGCATAGCCAAATGGTTAAATCAAGCTAATAAATGGTAGGGGTAGAAAGACAGGTAATTTGATTCTAGTATATTCACCAATATACTTTCCTGATGTTTCATTCATTAATTCATTTACTCATTCATTAAATTGTTGAGTTGGTCATATAATTGTTTATATTTGGGCAAATTCCTTTCTGTATTTAATTATTAATTTGAAACTGGTTTTTATAGTATTTTCCATTTTTCCCTTGCAGAAGGCAAATGTCCTTATGTGCCTGATGTTTATGTATGTTTGAAGATGCTTTGTTTTTTGGCATAAGTATTTAATAAATGTAAATTTTATTGCTTACATTGTTTCCAATATAGGTGTACCCATTTTTATTCCTATCAGATATTCAACACCTGTAAAGGCAACTTTTTATATGCAAAGGTTGTTTGAATGTGGTATCCTATTCATCTAGTTTTCAAAGGCTTGTGTTAGCCATTTTATGTTGTGACAAAATAACAGGCATTAACAGTTAGAGAGAGGGAGTGACACTTAAGCCCATAGCCCCATTGAGTCCAGGTCCATGGTGAGGTAGAATATCATGGTGGCTGGAGTTTGCAGAACAGAGTGAGTCTGTTCACTCCATGGGGGTTAGCAAGAAGAGAGATAGGAAGGGATAAGTTGTAATAAAGGCACGACTCCCAGTGTGCTAGGACTCACCTCCTAAAATGTCTAGAACCTCTCAAAATAGTGCCATCCTCTGAGAACCAAACATTCAATACATAAGCCCAGGGCGGACATTTCATATTCAACACATTTAATCCATTGCACTGTCAAGCAAATATTATTACCTTCATTTATTGGTAAAACCATTGAACTCTTTTTTTGACTGAGCCATCAAATTTATGAACCCTAAATCTATCATGAAACCTTTTAATTCTTGTACTACTTCCAAAGAATCACATGCATCTGAACATCGTATTCTAATGTATTTGTTCAGCATCTCAGCAAAGATGAGAGTCTTACTAGTGTGAAGGCAGGAGGAGCAAGTGTTGGTGTTAGGGAGAACACAGAACATGGAGAATTAGAATTAGCTGCTTTATAGGCTTAGGGATATGGAATTTGCTGTCCAAAGAATGTTGGAGTGCAGTGTATGTTTCTGAAGAGGAAAGAGGTAGGGACAGTAGATATGAAACACACAGAACAGACAAATACTGAAGCTGTGTCTCATCTCAATTTGGGTTTCCCAGAAGCCAATTGTAAGACAAAGTTTTAATGTAATTACTTTATTTCAGAGGTGACTCCCCCCCCCAAAAAAAAAAAACTGCTGCAAAGTGACTGAGGAATTAACAAGTGCAGTGTTTGTTATAAAGCCACTTACCAAAATGGGCAACTGGAGCATATTCCACCAATTTGGGAATACAAAATTGAAGGAACATGTGATAGAACTAGTCCAACTTTGAGGGGGGGAAAAAGGAGATCACTATTGAATATCAACCCTCACTGGTCACCAGTTCCATTTGTGAGGCATTTAAAAACAAACAAAACATTTCATTGTGCAAATCCAGTAGGCCTCCTTATTTTATTGTGAAAATTTTCTTTGGGGGAAATGACATGTATAGTCTGCTGAACTGTAGTATTTGTTCTAGTTTCTGAAGTGAAGAAGTAAAAGAGAAGTGAGTGCTTCAGTAACGGACTATTTTCAGGTTAGTGTCCTGAGCAAGCAAAAAATTCTGCAGGTAGCAAATGGAACATCTCTTTCCTTTAACTGGACTTCTGTGGATTTCTACATTTGAAATCATCTTCTATTGGAACTTAAATCATTCAGTGAGAGGGTAACTACCTTAGAAAGAAAGCTTGTTTGGTTTAGACTAAGCCCAGAGAATTTAGTATCATAACCTAGGAATTAGAAAGTATTTTTCAATTAAAAAATGTTACATTTGGAAGATTTCCTCCATTTTCTGTGGTATTCTGTAAAATTGACTATCATCTTGCCCTGAAGTTTTAGACAATCAATTTATTTGACTGGAATCAAATTTTCTTTACTGTATATTTAATGAGCATATGTTGATACCTTTTAAAGGAAGGTTTTATAATGTGCTTTTAAAAGTGTTTTTGCAATTTCTCAGCATTACTTAAGCACCTGAGCCTAATTTTTTTTTATTGACTGAAGACTCTAGAGGTAAATTAAAAAAAATAATTCTACACAGGAGTGAAGCATGTGAATATATTTGAAGGGGGAAACTCCACATAAAATGAAAAAAAAAACATGAACAAAATAAAGTCAAAATTTTCTAGGGAGCCACAGATTGCAATTAAAAAACATTAGCAAAATGTCTACTCTAAGAACAGTAAGAGACTCAAGCTAGTGGGAGAAAGACACTCTGGGAATGCCAGAGCATGTAGCTTAGCTAGGGCATGTTGTGGAAGAGTTCATGTACTGTGAATAGGAAAGGAAATGATTCCTTAGGAGGCTTGGGAAGTCTTTCCAAATTTGAACTGAGTTAAATCATTAAAGTAGGAGCCCAGAAGTATTTGCTAATTCTGCTTTTGGGTCTCAGTTGAGAATTTATCTAAGTAAATACTATATTGGGTAAAAGGAACAAATTGTGGGGAAGTTAAAAATGAACATTTTGTTTTCTGACATAGTTTATGCAAAATTCTTTATTTGAGCCACTTCACATTAGAGGAAAATGTGGATTTTAAATACTAGGGGACTGCAGAAAGGACTCTGTGGCTTAAATCGCTGGTGTTGAAGCCGTAGGGTCTTACTGCAGATTCCCAATACCCTGAAAACCCAGCACACTGTTTGCAACCTCAGCACCGGGAGAAGGTGGAGAGCATAGCAGCGGATCCACGAAGCTTGATTTTAGCCAGAGTAGCCAGGTGATGCGCTCCAGTGTCTGTGAGATCTTGTCTCCAAGGATAAAGTGGAGAATGATTGAACCCATGTTGATCTCAGGCCTCCACGCATAATCTCAAATGTGAATGCACAACCACACATCTTGACATCATATTTTGGTTTCCTTGGCACATTCAGTGTGTGTGTGTGTGTGTGTGTGTGTGTGTGTGTGTGTGTGTGTGTGTGTGTGTGTGTACACTAATAGACAGCAAATAAGCAAATGAACAATGCATACTATATGTTAGAACATGCTCTGAATTTTCTTAGTCTGGTCCTAGATGATAAACACATTAAATAGGTCCAACAGAATTTGAGGGAATATACAAACAAGAAGTCAGATTTTGTCAGTTGTAACATGTTAAAAGTTAACCAGGGGCGTGGTTAGGACAAAATAAAAAAAAAAAAAAAGTGTCAATTTCCCAAGATTTCATCCTGCAGTAAACTAATAACATTTTCCTAAGAGGGAAAAAAATGAAATAACACTTCCTCTGAAGTTTCAATCCAGTCACCAGCCACAGATGGTATCCCATTATTGTCCCAGTCATGTCAACCAGAGAGATTGTCTGCTAGGATGCAGTACTGTGGGACTTGTTCCTGTATTTCTCACTACAGAGTGATCTTACCAGGGCCTTTCATCTTTCCCTGCCACATGCTCTGTGCAGGTGTATCATTGCTACTTATTAAGTGGAGATGAAAGCCAGAGTCTGTCTACCAGCTGAGACAGCCTTGAGCCTTTTAGTTCTCAGGTTAATAGTTCAAGTCTCCACTTGTGCAATCAGCAGGAAATCTTAATGGCTACATCTTGACATCTGTACTCTGGGTCCCCTAGACAAGGTCTGTGTGCAAGATGAAACAATCCTTTGAGAGCTAAGTTCTCCTGGGCTGTCTCGATGGACACTATACCACTCAATCAATTCTCAAATTAACAAAATCTACAGCAAGGTGATGTGCTCTTGAACTATGGACATGGCTCGACCTTTTAGAGCTCTCTTTTGAAAAGTTCCACATTGGCACTCCATCACCATGGAGAAAGCTTTCCAGAGTAAATTTCAGGGATCCTTCAAGCTTCACTCCATGCCCATGCTTCACTGCCTCATACAGAGCCCTTCTACACCACACTATTATCTGTAGTCAAGTAAGCCCAGAGTGATTTGTTCACT